TCTTGCATGCGCATTCACACACGTATCCTTAGTGTGGAAGGAGTCTGCAATCTTTACGTTCAAGTAAAACAATTTTTCATTTCCAACGGGATGCTCGATCACATTTATTTATTTGTAGCTTTGGGGAAAAAATAGAAATAAATTATGTGTATGATCGCGGGTGGGATTATACACATGCCAAGTCCATTGTCTCATTTACTAGTAGAACGACTAACCTTAACCACCTTATGCAGGGGAATGTGGAGTGGATGTGGGGCATGAATATAAAGCAGAACTGAAAGGCCGACTCTTCTATAACTTATTTTGAAGAATGGGAGGAAGAGATCTACATGCATAGGTATGAACATAAATAGGTAGCCATTGCATTGTGGTAATCGTGTCATTATCCGGATTAAACATTGAATCACAACCGAGTAGGAAGGCATTAGGCCGACAGGTAGTTTTATTAGTGTTTTGTGTGTGCGAGATGTGGTTACTTTTCTACTACATTAATACATTAACAGCAGAGCAGTGAGCAGTAAATGGTGTACACATGAGTGTTGTAAAATCATTTCTTAACTCTCCATTTTCTACAAAATCTCAAAGCTTGCGGTTTCACTTTTAAGCGAGGAAGAATAAATGTTACTTATTACATGAAGTAACATCTCGATTTCCAAACGCAAAGTTAAAAATCGTGACGTTCTGGTCACTTTTTGATACGCTTTTAGAATAATGCTAGATATGTGGAAGCGTAAGCTCAAGTCGATTCTGACTGTCATGCCAAAATTGGACCACGGTTTTTATGTAGATTTCGAGAGTTTAAGAAAGAAATACCCCAATTTATTTCAAATTCAAGGAGTAGAAGACAAAAATTAGTTGTATTTTGCATCCTGTAACCTAAATTGACACATTTTTCATCCCCCCGTCCGTCCTCCACTCATTTTTTATGATCCCGTTCTTAGGTCAAACATGCTATTTATTTATGAGTGGCTGAACTTTTTCTTAACTTGATTCACACTTGAATTGAATCGTTTGAATTCTTTTGGCTCCTCTTGTAACGGAGATGCTTATCTCGGCTATCGTGCATACTGGGGAAAAGGATAGGACGAGACACAGATCTCACTCGATTTTGTCTGTATGTCATCCCTTTCCCAACTAGTTCCTTCCTGCCAGTGCGCTCCAGAATTCTCAATTCTCAACTACTTGCCAACTCATAACTTTAGTCAGAAAAGTAAGTGTCTGAGATGAATTCGAAATTTCATAGGAGAAATGGTGAGTCCAGCACCCAGCCAGATCGACGGACACTCACTTTGCCAGCTCCACCCGGGCGCTGGGTGTATGTCGGAGACCAAGACTTCATGCGTTCACGGCATTATGCATGTTTTCCGTGCCAGCCAACAACTAGTCGAGTTGGAGATAATTTAGAGGTGTGAGTCAGGTTGCGGTGATGTATGAAAACATTTCGCATTCCGGTCTCCTCTTCAATGAGATAGCTTTATAACGTAAAATATGTGAAAACTCGAAAGGTTAGATGTCGGACAACCACTTTACTCTACCACTTGTTAGCTGCCAAACTTTAAACGGCTGAGCGCATGCATGGTATTTTCCTCGCTTATCGTTACAAGAGTTGAATGGGAGAAAGTTCGATTATACACTTCTTCTATTATGTATATAGGTATGTATGTATGCATAAGATACGTATGTACAATGTATGTCTGTAGCGTATACGGTAACGTTGCAAATTGGGTACACCGCTATATTTATATCGATACAATAATTTAGGAAAAAAAGTTACTAAAATTTGCAATTTTCTTTCTCTCTGCAGAGTAACAACAGGCAGAGGAAGCCTGTAAAAAGTATGCATTTGTGCTATAAAATGAACTAAACTCATCTCCAAGTTGAGTTGAGGGACCCATCGTGCCGCAAAAAGGGATGAGGTTAATGAGGTACTTGTGTCTTATTTTACGCGGTGCAATGTGCTCCCCAAACAGTTATTATAACTCTATTAATTTCTTCATCCACTTTTACATCCAACACACTTAGCAACTTTATTAATAAATATTTTATTAATACTGGCAAGAAAGCCTGCTCGAGAACAATAAAGCCGAAATCTTTGAATATAAGAACCAGTATCTAGCTAGGACGAGTCACTTTAAACGACCGTAATATGTGATGTGAATATGAAATATTAAGTGTTATGCGGTCAAATGCCGTATTTTCTAAGAGTAAACCATAAGAAGACAATTCCGGCAGGAAAATTGCGTCGGTACTGTAATGCAAATATAATGTTGCCTTACTTTATGCATATATGCATGTGTACAGCTTAAGAACTCGAGTTGAGATTTTAGACTTTCCAGACGCTGTTCTTATAAATCCGCGTTGAGTTGGCAAGAGAAAATATATGCGCGTAAGAGTAACAGCAGCAACTAGGATTTGAAGTATGCATATAGAGAAGAAAGGTAACCTTAACTTGTGGGGCTTACAAGTGTCCCTCTGGAATTATTTACTGGAGCCTCGCACAGGCATTAGGAATTTCGTAATGCCAAAAACAACCCCAAGTCTCATCCAGCAAGTACCAGCATCACTCCATGTACTGCTGACTACGACGACTGGGTATTAGGACATAACTACTCCAAGATTCGATGCTCTGTTTCACATTATTATATCCGTCCACGGTGCTTGAGGAAAGTGAGGCTATTGGGCTAACGCTAACTGATGGTAACGAGAGTAAAAGCAAAGTAAACCTCATCTAAATTCATGTGTAGATTCACTTCCCCACGAAAAGGAAACAACCCGCGAGAGAACCCTGCAATGTAATTCAAAGTAATTCAAGGCTGGGCGCAGAGCTATCGTACGCACGTGTCCGTATATGATGCAAATTTCATATTGGCTGCAAACCAAACGAATGTCTAATACTCTGTTGCTCCATCTTAAACAAACATACCATTCATGAGTAATAGTTGAAATCTGGAGCCACTTCAGCGGCAAGACATATCGCTTCCTCGTAACAGGCCGTTAAGAAATACAAAGAATTAATTTGATTTCCTTCTCGTGGGTCCGGAGATTGGCGTGATGTGATTTCAGGACTATAATTTATTTCAACCGAAATATCAGGAAAGCGAAGCGGGTGAGTGTATGTAAGCAAATAAATGTTCATATCTTGCATACGTATCGTATGTATCGCAATGTGCATTTTCGGCTAGTTCACTACTTTCCTTGGCTGTTTCACTAGATTTTTCGAGGCACACACCCATTTTTCATCACGTAACAAGCTCAAGTTCCATGTAGTGGGTATATAATGGTAGGTGTGGTTGGTGGTGGCATGGCGCAGAAGAAATCGGAGCTGTAACCTTTAAACTGAAGGAAGGAATGTCTCACATTTTCCAGCTTCATTTACCTAATAAGAGGGAGTGAGTGGCGTATCGTGATACGGATTTGACATTGCATGGTTTGCCTGGCAGCTAGGTCAACGAAACCCGGCCCTATTAATCTCCCCGCTTCCTGCACCACCAGGTATGCACCAAAACCAACCGTTTTTGGTGACTGCATGGTGGTCGTCTCGACACCCGACCATATATTTCTCTCGCAAATAACAAGTGCTACTTCTTCCAAGTGAAGAATTATAATTCCATCAACTCAATTGTTCAGAGTTTCTCAAATTAATTTCCTTTGCAGTTTGGTTACTTTGTGCAATGTTCTCTTTAAAGTCATCCTATCTGCGAAGGCATTGCGATATGGCTCCCCTCCTCTTGGCTGAACCCATTTCAAAAGCCCGTTTTCCTATTTAGATTTGATGGGCTTACACTTAGTGCTTTGGAGAAAGTAATTTGCAATGTTTGGATGACAGAGGCGGTGGTATGTGGATACCTGGAGCCAAGGCTTGATTTAGATTCGACTGCGCATTTGGCAAAGAATGAGCTGGTGTCTTGGACTCTTGTGCTGCTTGAATGTGATATCACTAACCGACGCTTTCAACTCTACAAAATAAATGAAAACTTGCCCATCATCCTCTCCTTTTCCTGCCTTTCTGAGTCTCGGAGCTCTGGTCCCGTACTTTTCTTTCTTCACAAAACCCACCTCACCCTCTTTCCGTAAAGTGAATCATGATATAAAACCTTCATTTGGAATTTCTTCCCTTTTCACCTGAATGAAATCACGTGGATGAATAAAATTCGAGAAAAACCTGCAAGTTCTCTCTGTGCACAAAAGGAAATATATTTTGCATTTACTTACACTTTGGGGATAAGTAAATAAAATGCGGCGTGTCTTAAACTTGAGTTCGTTTATATTGAGTAACATTACAATTTGTGTGTCGAAGTCGGCATGTTAAATTCCGTCGCATTTTCTCAGACACTTGTTTCTATTCATGCTCCGAGTGAATTACCTGCACTTTCAGAAAATTAAAATGTTTTCTATATATTATTTTCGAAGAAACTGTGAATTAATTCAAGTGCTGATACAGTGCTCACATATGTAGTCCACCTGTAAGGAGGAGCAAAATGCAAAATGCCTTTGACGTTGCAGTTGAGTGCTGGACTTGGAGAAAAGCAATTATTTTATCGGTATTCCAAACATTTTCTCAGGCTGTCTCTCTAAAGGGGCATAAAGTTGCAGTTGCACAACAGCGAGAGGTTGGAGAGTTGCCTGTTTGACTGCTACTTGGACGTTTGGAGTCGACAAAGGCCAACCCAAATCCATTTGAGATGATGAGACGATGTATCTTGAAGATGTAACGTAGCGAATGTAATGATATTACTATATTATGCGAGATAATATTCTATTTCGGAACACTGCCACAATACCAAGTGCAATGAGGACGCAGGATCTGCCTGGTTTTCTGTCTTGCCTGTTTAATTATTATGTCTCAATGTAGGAAGAGACATTGTATCATACTTGCGTAATTAACTAGAAATCAGTATGCATGCATGCAATAAAGCTAAAGTTCCACTTTGCATACAGAGAAAATCGAGAAAGCTACACGGATAAAGCAGAGTGGGAAACCAAATTGTTGTTGTTGTTACCTGCAGATTTTGGATGAGTTGTTGGCAAGCGATTGGAGGTACGTCATTTCCTATCGACACGACCAGGTCCTCATAACCCCCATGACTGTTAATCCTGAGTCCGTTTCCCGTCCCCAGCATCAGACTCGTACAAATAAAAAGGGTCAGGATAATCCTCCCTTTCGTTCCCCCTCCGCCTCTTCTGAAGGATGGTGACGATGACGAGTATGAATGTGACGCTGTTCTCTCCAGGTCGCTCTGACAATTAATCAGATCCTCCATGTCACTACCTTCGCTACTGCTTCTGCTGATAATCTTTACTGAATTACTAAACTTGGATTTCATCATTGTCATTCTTCTTCTTGTTCCTCTCCGACTCACAACTCGAGTGAGTTAAGCATTAAAGGAGTAACCTCTGAAGACTTGGCAATTAATTTGGTGTTAGTACAACTCTTGCTCAGACTACTCATTACACGGAGATTAATACTCTTGTTCCTTTGCCGACACAGAGAAGATCAAATGAGCTATACAGTCAGTTCAGTAGTCCAAATGGTGAGCAATAACGATCGGTTTAATGGACTTTTCACAGTTTAACGTCCAGAACAAGGAGTACCAGTAGCATTCAAATGCGAGGAGGCTTCTTTCGTATTATGTATCCCTTCTCTTTTTGTTGTTAGACTATATTGTTTATGTTTTGCACTCGTACTTACTGGCGAGGAAAATATAATGAGTCTTTGTGTACGGTCACGTTGAACTAATTTGAATAAGAGTTCCACTTCATAAATTTAAACATTCACTTTCCATTGGCACGCCACTTTAACGTTATTACCTCGAAACGGTGGTTTAGTTCGGCTGCTTGATTAGGATATTTAAATGTTGAACGCCTTCAAGGTGTAAATTAGTAACACAACTCAATCGCGGTTTTTGTGGTCAATAAAAACTTATTTTGTCGCCTCTAACCTGCGACGATTTTGCAGTTGTTGGGCAGACTGGTTGCTGGTTGGTTGGTGAGTTTATTGTTCTGAATTTCAATCCAATTTGAAATCAAATATTGAGATGTCCTCCATCCGTCGTGATGAGTTGTTGTTTACCTGCACGGTAGGAAATAAAATATTAAAATTTTATTACTCAACGCAATTTTGCAAAAGTTGGATTGATAGGAGAATATGTAAGGATAATGGAGTATGAATATTAATGAGCTAATACTTGGATTCCTTCCCTCTCGATTGTACTCAGAGTTTGGAATTTTGTCCGTTAAATAATGGATTGAAATGAGTATTGATAATATATTCGATATGAGTATTGCAACATACATGGCAAAACAATAATGTCAACCAGCCCGGCCAAATCCGCAAGCATGTACAAATACAGAAATTTGCAGTGTCAAATGACTTACTGGAACTACAGCACAGAAATCAATTGGAGTGGAGTTGTGGCATTGTGTTGCGTTTGTAGTGTCTAATATCTCACTGAACCATAACACGTAGTCAACAACTGATGACTGAATTATCAGGATTGATTCCATGATAAGTAATTAAAGTACTTCTCATATATCGTCCAATGTCCAACAACGGTTGGGTTGGCTAATACCAATAGTGATAAAGACACCATTGATGAGATAGTGCAAGACACTGAAGCTTCAACATTATAGAAAATTCGGAAGTGCCAGGCACGAAGAATTTCATTTGACCGTGATAATTAGGGATGCCGAATCAATGGAAGATACTTTATTGCCTTTATTGCCTCTGTATGAAAGATAAGCATGAAGGAATATTGTACGTATGTACCTCATACATACACACCTACATGTTTTTTTTACCATTGAACCATTTTTCACCGAGCCGCATGCACATATGGAGATATTTTCAAGCATTTGTAATCATTATCAAATTATTTGATAAGGTTAACACTGTAAACTGCTTGCACTTTAGTTTGTATTCATATCATCCGAAGTTCGCTTCAAAGAACAATCAGGCGTTTGTTCTATATGGAGATTACGACAAAAATGGAAAATTACGACACTACTCGATTAGAAATATCTCAGCAACGATATTGACATTTGCTGCATATTTGTATCACTTTATATTGACATTTGCTGCATATTTGTATCACTTTATCGACAAAATTGAGATATTGAGACATCAGGAATTAGTATTTAAGTACATATGCATGTGCTCCTTGGGTGTTATTTTTTCATTTTTTTTGTCTGTTCTCTATCATTGTGCATGGCACATATGTACATACGCATTTATGTAGGCGTTATACAAATAGCTACATATATATAATTTTAGTATCTGTAGTACATATATTACACGGATAATGACGCATTCGAGGAGTATCTTTTATTCCTTTAAAGCGAACCCTATTTTAGTATTTTCAAGTTCTTTCAAATTAAGATAAGTAAAAATTTTAAAATCAGATGAATGGAAACAAGTCCTGAATACTCGTGATTTGACATGGTATTGAGAATTGACGCTGTGGTGTCGATGTTAGGCAACCCAAATTTAAATGACAAACCAAACAATTTGAACAGGTGTGTATGGCTGAAACGAGTGCCACACGTCGCTCACTGAGAGCGTTGGTTAATATAACTTTTAATATAACTACAAGAGAATGCCAAGCTTGCAGTAAAATGTATAAAAGTTGCATGGTGCCAACAACATAGGGATAAGCCCAGCAGTGGTGCTGCTGATGCAAGGAAAGGCTTATTGCATTACAAAAACGAGAGGAAACGTTTCCGCTGCAGGTTGCTTCTCTTTAGATTAAGTGAGATTAGATTAATACCAAAATTATGTGGAAAGGTTCAACTCTACAGGAACTACTCGTCGCGCTTCCATGCGCTTAAAAAACTCTTAAAATCAGCAAAACCCCCATCACCCAACGTAACATTTTAGTTGTAATTGGGCAGACCTTCACCTAACCTCTCTCGTCATGTGCATATGTATTTATGCATATCTGCGCTGTACTTCTGCCCCCTCCCCAAGTATGAATCCACCATTTGCTTATTCCATATCCTGTGGATATTTTGTGGAGTAAAACACAAAAGTTTATTTAAATTGTATTGTAATATCAATGTTTATTCGTCAATTGTAAATTGGAATCTGATGCAATAGAAAATGGGACTCCAACCGGCTTAACCTCGGTCACATATCAATGATTCCTTCGTACGTGTTTTACAAACCTTGATTTTTCTCTTTCACTTTCAAATATTTTTTTATTAAAAATGTTGACGAGAAAAAAATCTATCAAGATAAAACATTCCTTCTATGCATACAAACTGGTATGATACATTTAAAGGTCTTCAATAGAGAGTACGTACGTATGCATGTGCACAATAATTATGTGAGCTGAGTAATTTCCTGCGTCTGACTCTCCATTACAATAAAAACGATGTGGTTTGGTTTATTAAATTGGGTTCAAACCACCCATTTTCCGGTTTTATTACACGGTTTTGTTATTTTGCACCTGACTTGTGCGAATTTGTCTGCTTCTACTTGCAAAAAACGCACCCTTCTCGCAAGTACTTATATATAAGTAGGTTCGGTAAGACTACTACATATAGCTCGTCTTGAACTTTGTGTGAACTTATCCGCACAGTTAAAGAATCTTACATATTTGGATTTTTCCACATTACGATAATAGTACCAGCACCATTATGTGTGCTTGAAACTTTGAAGACAAGAAGCTCCATGTTATTAAACCAATTAATTTACTCTCGTACGTAGCATGCTCTAGCAAATAATATGGATTATTCCTGAGTGAGTGAACTTTTGAGAACTGGTCGCCTTTCCTGCCATCCTAGAAATTACTTTAAAACGCACCAAGCCATATCTCAGGTACAATTACTAACGACATGAAAACTATACGTACACTTCTCAACAAATTACTTCTTTTCCAATTTCACAACCATTTTCCGTTTAAATCTACTGCACCAGAACTCCAAGGACGGACGGTACGGAGCTTGCGATTCTTGAAGCATTACAACAAATTCAAGTCTAAAATTAAAGAAATTGATGTAACAAGAGATTGCATTGAACTTCATTCCTGTGGCCAAAAACATTCAACTCTCATTGCATTAAATATTTGAGGAAGGTGGAATCAGCGATGGGTAAAATAAAATAAATAAAACTCTTCCCATCTCCTTTGGGTGCAATTCAGTGCAGCGAGCTGGCCATTTCAATCTTCCTCTGCACAAGTAGTGCGAGTTCACCTTTACCTGCCTCCTCCTCCCCAGAATGTGAGGCATAAAATATGAAAATCCATATTGAATGACTCATGGGCACTTCACTCAAAAGTGCACACAAAAAAGAAATAACATTTAAGGCATTGAAATGTTATTTGAATAACAGCGGACACAATTTTTACACTCTTATATGATACAACTTGATATTAATTTCAGGACAATTGCAATTTTACAGTGAGAATGAAAATATGCACATTCTGAACAAACACAATAAAGTCTTGCTCAGTTAAAAATAACAGTTATTAAGCACTACAGCCCATTACACATTTCACTCAAAAATGTAATAATAATTTTATGACAATCGAATATTTACGATTGTATTGTTCATCCGCTGAAATAATTCTCAGATCAGACACAAATGTGTCATTTGTAAAAATTAAATGAACACAGTAAAGCATGAAATAAGAAAAAATGCTGGAAAGCGATACCGTTCATTTATTCGAAGCATTTTAATACTTCTATTTCACTCAACACGAGTCTTTGTCAAATTACAGATATTCTGAAACGACAAAGACAGAATTGATACCTTTGATACCTTTTTGTTTTTGTAATAATTCCTTCAACAAGAAACAAAATCCAAGCAAGATGCAATAACAAAAGATGGAACACAAGTCCGATACTCTTGTCAGTATTGTACTTAATACTTAAATGCTTGAAGCAACGAAAGAAAAAATCCTGAAAATGTCTCTGGATTTTGTAATGAATAATGAATTAGTTATTCTTACATGAACCTTCAGTCATCATTAAAATAAATTATTTCAAACCTAGAAATTGCATAACAAAGGATAAAGTTGAGTCTCTCTTCAGACACAATTAGCGTCATAAGCACAACTACTTACGTTGTATTTGTAGTGCGTAGCAGGTTAAAGGGAAAAAATACTTTTGAAGATTCGTACGCCTATACCGTGAGAGATTATGCAGTGAGTGTACCAATCCGTTAGTGAGTACTGTTCCTGAAAGTTTTTTTATGCATGGAGGAAATAAGTTTCCTATTTAGGCAGATGATGATAATAATGATACTTGCAGACGGTACAGCTGGTTTTTAGCATAAGGTGGAACAACAAAAGTTGTATCTGGTGGACGAGAAGCATGTTGGTACAAAAACACTAATGCGATTGCAATGGTTAGCCGAAGTAAAGTATATAAAAATGCACATTTTCATGTGAGAAACATAACATACTTAGCTTCCACATAACAAACTTTAATTGCTAAGATTAAATTATGTTTTGGATAAAATTCTTTCTTTAGAATAATTACAGTTCTTTCATAAATATATGATTCCTTTGGACCGAAACTTAAATCTATGTAATTTTGCTCAAGGTGGATCAACAAATAAGTATGTTATGTAATAGGACCCATTTTGCATTTGTATCAATCAATTACAGGGCTAGTCCTCTATTACATCAGGAACTTCCTCAGTGTTTCTCCAAAGAAAGTCGCAAACCCAATTTATGTCAAACCAAAGGCAACAAAATGGTGGAAATGATGCTAATTTTTGCTCATTAAAGTTTAAGACGATCTGTTTGGCAAATTGATCTGCCAGTGTGTTTTATATCAATTCATTCAGAATTGGGTGACATGGATGTAATTTAGTTATTTCAATTATAGGTCGACTCTGCCATTACGGATTCTTAATGGCCAAGCTCAAAGGCAAGCAGGACATTTATTGGATTTTATTAGTGAGGATAAAGTGGAGCGGTTAAGGAGGATAATTACGACGCTCTCAGAAGGGAATGGATACTTTTTTATCCCTTTCCAAGACCATAAAAATATCAAGGTGAGATAAGTCTGATACTTTTGCAACTGTTGTACAAGCACCGAAAAAGTTTAGTTTAAAGGAATTTATTA